TGCCCCCTCCCTCCACACACACCCCCCAGGAGGACCGAGAGGGACCCCCCCCCTCCCTCCCCGCGTCCCAGGTGGGGGGGGAGGGGGGAGAAAGGGGCTGGGACCCCCAGGAGTGACCTTGGGAAAGGGGTCTAGGGCAAGAGAGTCGGGAGCCCGTAGGAGCCTCGATCTCCGCGTGGCCTCTGCCCCCTCCCTCCTCACACCCCCCCCACGGGGACCGAGAGGGACCCCCTTCCCTTGCTGTGGCCGAGGTGGGGAGGGGGTCGTGGGAAGGCAGCCGACCGGGGGTCAGAGTCGGACCTTCCGGCCCCGAACGAGACCCGGATCCGGAGCCCCCAAAGTTTGTCGCGTTGGAGGAGGAAGGAGAAGAAAGTGAAAGAGAAAGAGGGAAATCGCGGCGTTTTCGGTCCTAAATCCGCGCAAGGAAAAGCCGCATAAGAAAAAGATGCAATTGGGGAAAAACCTTTTTGCACCTTCAGAAACTTCAGTTTTTCTTTATAAATCTCCAGTTAGAGGCTTTTGAGGGCAGACAAGAGTTGAATTGAGATCCTTTGTTGGGGAGCCTCTGAATTGGGAAGGGAAACCCAGCCCCCCCCATTCCCCTCTGCTGAATCCGGGTCAGGAGAGGAGGGGGGAACTGAGGATGTGGGGAAGGGAGACGGGAGACCCCCTCTTTCAGTTCCTCCTGGGGGCTCTTGAGGAAAGGCAGGTAGGAGGGCTGAATGTTGGGGGGAGAAGAGAAGTTTGGGGAAAGCAGGGAAGGTGGGGGGTTCAGACGAGGGAGGGGCTGGGAGACCCCAGGATCATCGGTCCAGATGCCCTCATTGTGCCCCCTCCCCATATTCCCCCCCAAGGAAGAGGGAGACCGAGGTATGGATCTCACTTTCACTGCAGCCCGGAGAGTTTCTGGGTCTTTTCACCCCCCCCCATATTTCCTGCCACTTTGGGGGGCAAAGAGGCCTCACCTGGATCCAACGTTCCCTGCAGAGAGTAGGGCTTTCTGCTGCACCATTTGAGCTTCTGCCTGCCTTTCCCCAGGGCGGGAGGATGGAGGGGGCCCACCAAGAAACTTCTCCCCCCCCCCCATAATCTCCCCCCCCCCGC